GGTGGTGAAGGCTTCTGGGAGTTGCAGTCCAAAACTCCTGAGTAACCCAAGGTTAAGAACCAGTGGGTTAGGCCACACAAAGCCATGAACACTGTTCTTGATGAGCCAAAAAAACTGAATACAAACTATAGTAGCTGAAATCAGGAAGCAGGTACTGTACTGTAATCCAGTTAGAAGTCACGAGGCACAGTTAGTTTCCTTGCTGCAACACCCTTTGGAAATACATTCTCTATTAGATGCCCAGAACTAGTTGAAAAGTTTGCAAGTTGAATCCAAATTTCGCATAGAAATGCATTGAAAATTAATTAATGCATTTTTATGGGGGGAAGGTCAGAAACTGTTAAAAACTTAAAAGAAAGTCACTTACCAGGTACTGTAGACTGAGCCTTGCTCTTCACAGTGCGTTGATAGACCCTAGAACAGCCAAAAAAGAGCCCCAAACAGCGAAAAGCCAGCAGGCAGCCGACAGACAGCAGCCACTTTGTACTCTTCTCCGCTCCTGCTCCTGCTCCTTTCCCCTCTCCCCTCCCCACCTAACGCTGGTCTGAACACTTCCTAGGCAGCTTTTAAAGCAAGTATGCACGTTTCTACACAAGCAGGTTTCAATTCATACGGAGCACCTTTTCACCCAAGCACTAACCCCAAACAAACAGCTTTTAAACTAAATTTTACATTTTTAAACGACAATACTAGGCAGTCCCAGCTCTCGCTCCCAGCTCTCTAACTGCTTGGACTAGCAAGGAAGCAGACAAGCAGCCTCTTCACTAACTAAAAGTTTGAATGTCCCCGCTTCCCCTGCCTTCCCCGCATATTAGGTATGCTAATATCTGTGCACTGGAGGATTGTGGGAGGAACATCCAGCCCCTGATGGGGGTCCTGTGGGGCACCCCAAAACACTGACTAGGCCTCTTGGCCTCTTTCGGGACTGGGGCTGTGCAGCCCTGTTCTGATCAGGAAGTGCAGCCAGGGGGTCACCATGCCTTTGGAGGACAGGGCACAGAAAGGGGCAGGAGGTTCAGAGACCATTCCAACTCATACCTGGCAGGGGAGATACCATGATCATCAAAGTGGTTTTCCCAGGGTGAGGCTCATCTATTGCACTTTGGATGTGCTGATCCCTGTGATTTGCCTAAGTGGGGGACTGTGTTTGTAGTTTCCCCTGGTTTTTCTAGAATTACTCTTTCCCCTTTTGTCCTTGGCTGTTTCCACTGCCTGCTGCCATAGGCCTGTTGGCCTTGCTAGTTTTCCAAGTGGGCTCCAGGAAGCAGATCCTAGAAAGCCAGCAGTGCAGAGGTCCAAACAGCAAGCAGTCTCTGGTGCTAGTTCAGAGGCCTCCCAGCATGGCAGTGGGGGGCTTCTGGGTGGTGGTGGTTGAACCCCCTTTTTACTGTATTCATTCCATAAGACGCACATACTTTCTCCTCCACTATTTTTTTGGGGGGAGTGCGTCTTATGGAGCAAAAAATACGGTATCTCCACCTATGAGGGGGTATTCATATTCATATATAAATACGAATACCCCCATCTCCAGTTAAGACATTTGCATGTAACTCTGTAAAGCAGAAGCTGAACTTCATGTGATCTGTGTACTGCATACAGCCTTTACCATTTTTAATGGTACGCTAAGATTGCATAGACATATAACTTTTTTAAAAAGCCACTGAAAATTGGAAGCATTATTGAAAATAGGCAGTAAAGATTCCCAGTCATTTCTCTGTCTTTGTAATTGCTATTTCATGCTTACGTAAGCTACTGGAACTTATTTAATGATTAAATACTTTGTATTGCCTTTATTTTTCTTTAAAATGGTTGTTCTGTACCATAATTGCCTTAATTGATTAAAATAGTCTTCAGAGAGAAGTCTTTAATCAGCTTCCTTCCTTAATTAGCAAATGTTAATCAGCTATCCCTTGTGAATTGTTGATTTCAGTGAAACATTTTATTGCTTTATTGCCTTTTAATGGATATCTTATTTGAGTTTTTTTACTTTATAGGAATTTACATATGCAAATAGTATATAAAATAAATGAATGAATAACTGTAGTTTATCCCTACATGCAAACACATTCACTTTTACTGATTATGTTCTTTTTCACTTAAAAATATTATTTCTATGGCAGATATATGAAAACGGGGATAGTTTCAAGGTGAACGACATTCTTGAAGTGTATGGGATTTTATCTGTTGATCCTGTCCTGAACATAGTAAACAACGAGGAAAGGTATTGTTTTAATGTCATAGGTGACAACTGTGAGCTGCTTTGGGGGTCCTTTCTGGGAGGAAGGCAGCCTAGATATGAAATAAATAAAATATATATTTTAAAATGATTTTAAAAGGCTTGTGCTCTGGATAGAATGACTAAACCCTGTTGCTTAGCATAGTAAGTTGTGTAAAGTAGGCCCATAGATTTAGTGGAGGTTTGGTGAGTCAACTCCCCCATAAGTTCCATTGATTCAAATGGGTGAATTGTAATCACAATTTATTTTAGCATAGTAAGTCGCAACTGGAATAGGCCCATTTGAATCAATGGAACTTATGGAGGACTTGCCTCACCAAATCCCCACTGATTCAATGGGTCCACTGTAGTGCAACTTACTATGCTAAGCAACAGTATTTCAGTAAGAAGAGTTGGTTGGGAATAAAAGTTGGCTTTATTTCTCTTTTAATTTAAAGGCATTGATTTTGACTGTCATAAACCATGCCATTGAGGTGCAATATTTCCCCAGCCACTTGAAAATATGCTGTATCTTCACCTCTCTTTTTTCCAGTCTCTCTTTTGTATGCAGTGTTGTGAAAAATTTCCAAGCAGGCTTTTTTCTTTCATGTAGTTGATGCACCACCCTGTCCCTGAACATATTCTGTAGCATGGTGGTGTGTTAAGGATAGTATCTCACCTTGTTGACCAGTAGTTCCCAACCTTGGGTCCCCATATATTCTGAGACTAAAACTCCCAGAAGTCATCTTCACTATCTGTGCTGGCCAGGATTTCTGGGAGTTGGAGTCTAAGAACCTCTGGGCACCCAGGGTTGGGAACCACTGTTGTAGACAACTTTGAATCTAGTAAGCTTAATTCATCATGTTGTGATTGAAACCTGGTAGGAATTCCCTTCCTGGTGGTGTATTTTGTTTTATTTTTGTCTTACTTCAGGAATTCTGTATATAATTCACAGATGGAAACTTTGTAGTTACATGGAGTATGTGTAAATTCACTTGTTTTCTTCCCCTAGGGAAAATTCTTCATCTCCAGTGGAATCTATGGATTGTATGGACACAATAGAAGAACAGAGAGTCCACAGTCCACCAGCCTCATTAGTTCCCAGAATCCATGTGATTTTAGCACAGAAACTTCAACACATAAATCCATTGTTGCCTGCCTGCCTTAATGAAGAAGAAAGCAAGAGCTGTACGTATTTATTATGTTAAGGGGAATATTACCTCATCATTGTTGAATATCTGCACTCAACTTTATTATTTCGACTTCCTTATTCACAAAGAAGTCTATTTTTCCAGGGCTCTACATCGTTAAAATTCAACATGAACTCATTTATTTTAGAAAGAAGACTTAGGAATAGTTCCACAAAGATATTTGTAGTGGGATTCCTTGTTTATTTAAAAAATATGACTACAGTGGTGCCTCGCATTACGATGTTAATTCGTTCCAGCGAAATTGCTGTAGAACGAAAACATCGTAAAGTGAAATTTAAAAGCCCATAGAAACAAATTAAAACCCGATTAATGCGTTCCTATGGGCTTGAAACTCACCGTCCAGCGAAGATCCTCCATAGTGCAGCCATTTTCGCTGCCCGTGCAGCGAGGAATCCGTCCCAGAAAACAGCGGGAGGCCATTTTTTTAAAACCTGGCGGCCATTTTGATCAGCTGTAGGAAAATCGTCGTTTTGCGAGAATCGGTTCCCGAAGCAGGGAACCGGTCATCGTAAAGCGAAAAAAAACCATAGGAAACATCATTTTGCGATCACTTTTGCAATCGCAAGTCGTACTGCGAGAATCGGTTCCCGAAGCAGGGAACCGGTCATCGTAAAGCGAAAAAAAACCATAGGAAACATCATTTTGCGATCACTTTTGCAATCGCAAAAACTTCATCGTTATGCGATTTCATCGTAAAACGGAGTGCTCGTCTTGCGAGGCACCACTATATATTTAAGCTGCAAGTTAATAGTTGGTTAAAAAAGAGAGAGAAAAGGAAAATGCTAATTCTGTAGTAGGACAACCGATGCCCATCTCAGGTAGGAACAAGTGAGACTCTGATCAATACTTATCTAATAAACAATATGAAATCTGCAAACACATATTAAATATGGAAGAAGAAACCATGATGCAAAAAGTTAGAAAGGCAGGTTGCTATAAACTATTATGCCTTTGATTTTAAACTTTGAGCTTGATGTTCTCTAATGGCACTTATGTTTCTAAAGTTTATATCCTTTGTAAACATAGCTGTGGCTCATTTCAGGAAACTGGATGAATTTGGGGATTAAAGATTATTTATATACTGTACATTGGCTCCAAAAAAATTCAATTTCACATAATGAAGATTGGTGATAAAATAGGATTTACACCACAACTCCCAGAAACCCTGACCAGAGGCTTCTGGGAATTCTAGTCAAGAACACCTGGGTTACCCAAGGTTAAGAACCACTGTTCTAGAACATCAAATCTAATGTTGCATTTCGCATATTTCCCACGTACATCTCAGAAAAGGTAGCTATTTCTTTCTCCAATATAGAATGATGTTTGAAGATAGTACAACTGGAGTCATGTTTGCAGATTGCTACTGGAGAAATACTTTTTTTCAGTTCCAGGATGCACACAATTTAGTTGTGCATCCTAGAATTGCAAAAGTCTTGGTCAGTAACAGACTAGTGATGAATAATATTATTCTCATTGCACAGGCAGAGTTAGGTAACAGGATTTTGTCATATATAGATTTTTCCCATGTGTGTGTATGTGTGTGTATGTATTCCTGGGCAATATGTTTATCATCAAAAGAGATTAATATATAGCAATAATTGGCACTGGATTTGCTTTCAGAATTGTGTTGATTTTGAAATCCAGATTACAAGTGATATGATACATATATGATCTTTTTAAAAACAAAACCCAATTATGTTGATACTTTGTTAAAATAGTAATGGCCTGGGTTGAGAAAATTCACCCCAACTGTGAAACAAATTTCAACATTCTGAAGTTGTCAGGTAGACAAAATTGGAATAGACTACCTTTTGACTGACGTGGAACCATATTTTATATTGCCTCTCCTCTTCTGATTGCGTGCAAGAACCATGTTTGATACAGAGGTTGTGATATTTCTGACAGCTGTCTATTGTTATCTTTATTAGTTGTTTCTAGTTTCATGTCTGAACTATCACCAATCAGAGCAGAGCTTCTTGGCTTTCTCACTCATGCCTTCTTAGGAGACAGTTTGGCTGCTGAGTACCTTATATTGCATCTCATTTCCACAGTGTAAGTAGCAAAGTCACCTGTTAAGAATATTTTGGGTTTGATTCTTTTTTCTTCTGTAAATCAGAATGCTCTTTCTGTGTTTTGAAGGTCTTTGATTCATTGGAACATTTCTTTTGGGATAACAGGGAAGGAAGTGACCTTTGCTAATCCCTTCTCCCTTGCAATTCATCATGGCCTCCAAAATATTTACTGAAGATTTGGGATCCTCAGGAACAGTGTGAGGGTTACACTGGGTATTGGAGGAAAAATGAGCTTAAATCCTCCCCATCTCTTTTTGTGAGTCGTCAGCTGGAGAATTCTAGTCAGGAAGTCCCCCATTTCTTGTTGCATACTCTGTTCAACTGATTGCTTTCAAACCAGTTTTTTTTTTTACAAAGACTTCACACATATCTCATAATTGCTCTCAATCTGAGTTTGATCCCTACAGATTCAGGTAGCCGGCTCAGGCTGACTCATTCTTCCATCCTACCAATGTTGGTAAATAAGTACCCAGTTTCGGCAGGGGGCAGGGGGCAAAGTGTTGTTTGCATAATTATGTTGTAAACTGTTCAGAGGGTACTCTAGCACTAGGCTGTAGTATATAGGTTGAAGGAACAACAAATTTAATACATAGATAGAGACTGGTTATTATTAGAACTATTCTGTCAGGAGTCCAGAATTAATTATACCAATACCAGTGAACATTCAAACACTTCTGCTGAATCAGCCTTGTGTTTACTATTTGCCTGGTAGTTAAAGGTGACCAAGAATTTTAGGCTGGCAAGTGAGTGAACAGGCTCATAGAAGAAGCAGAGAATGTACTTTTTCCACTTGGCCACTGGAGGCCCATCTGGTACTCCTACAATTTTGAAAAAGAGCCTTGTGTGACTTTAAAGATTGACAGGGTTCATTTGGCATAAGTGTTTGTGCGCCATCAGATGCAGTTGAATATAAGCAGATTTGGTGCTGAGATCCATTTCCAACTGCAAAGGATTCATATACAGTCTTTTCTCATAGAAGAACCCAGAAAACATTAAATCATTCTTACATTAAATCATTATACATTGTTAGCACCATTTCTAAAGTATGTGTTACAATTGATTGATTATTTGCTTATGCAGGAAGTGGACAGTTGGGAATCCTGAAGAGGATATGCGGTTGTGCTAGTGTTTCTTGCAAACCATTTTAACAGTCTGGGTTTTTGTGTTTCATATATTTTGCCTTCCAATATTAATCAGGAAAGAGCACTCAATTCTGAAATCATATGTCTTTCATGCTGCTCATCTATTAAAACAGAGGATTATCACAAAAAAATAAAAGCCAGCAGTGTGACTTCCCTTTGTGTTCCAGCACTTCAAACCAGTCCATCGTTACTTGCTAGGCCCCCAGAATTCCACTTGTAATACAGTATCAGCCCCTGAAGTCAGTTTCCATAGCTACATTGTCTTTAATACTCCTGTCATCTTCACATGAAGCTGAGCTAACTCTCTGAATTTTAGACATATCTACTGTAAAACAGAAGTTAACCTTTGATAATTGTGTTGAGAAGGGGGAGATTCAAATGTTCTGTTGGCATGAGATCCCTTGTCAGTGCTCAAAAGCATGAAAGCATTATTAAGATGGCAGTTACTTATTGTAGTCAATCTATTATTCTCAAACTGCTTAATTGCTCTGTTGTGTGTTATCTAGCTATGCAAGAAGAGATGTCCTTCCTCTGGGAAAATTCACAGTCAACCTAAGTGGCTGTCCAAGAAATAGTGTCTTCACAGAGCACATATACCGTATTATTCAGCAGCTTGTTCCTGCAGTAAGAATTACATTTATATGTTTTGTAGAATAGCTGATTATGTGGTCGTTCAGATATGTGGATATTTTGCTCTGGTAACTATTTGTGCTTCTGCTTGAATGTTTTAGTGTACAACAGCCAATATGGAAACATGTCAAGAAAAGCAGCTACCAGCTTTCCTGCAATAATTTTGTTCTGATGATTTGATATGTGTATATTCTTCTCTACTCATTATTTTCTCGTCATGTGTGCCTGAAGGCCTATACCATCTGTATGGTATTTTGAGGATGATGAGCTCATGTGCTGTCCATTGATAACAGTTGGCCAGCCAATGCTGCTTTTCTAGATCATATTAATAAGTGTTTTACTTCCTGTGTGGCTCAAGGAGATTTCTTCTGTGAACTGCTACCACTCCATTAATCTGACTGGTTTATTTTCTGGTATGCTCAGTTTCTAGGTCATGATGCCCCTTTGCAGAGGCAGAAAGCAAATGTATGAAGAATGTTATAAGATGCTGTTCTGTCGTATAGTAATTCTCCATGATTCTGTATGACACTTTTAAGTGCTTAAGGCCAATGTGATTCATATTAATGTGGAGCCTTAAGCAGAACAAAGCACATATATACAGTGGTGCCTCGCATAGCGATGTTAATTGGTTCCAAAAAAAACATCGCTATGTGAAACCATCGCTACGCGAAACACCATTTCCCATAGGAATGCATTGGAAACCGGTTAAGCGAAAAAACCCATAGGAAACATCGCTAAGCGAAACAATGTTTCCTCCATTGGAATGTATTGAAGCTGACTCAATACATTTCAATGGCTTTGCGAAGTCAATTTTTGCAAAATTAAGTGTGTCATAAAAGGGTCAAAAATGGTTTTAAATGCTTGGATTAGCTTCTGCACCCTCTAAAACGGATGCAAAAGTTAATTTGGCTTTGATCTGACTTTTCGTTAATTTTTTCTGAATTTTTCCCCCCAACTTTTGACAGCTGTCAAAATCTGACAGCTCCATTATTTCCTATGGGGGAAGAAAAAATTCACAAAAAATTAACGAAGACTCAGCAACTGTTCTAAATGCTTGGGTTCGTTAGGGGACCCCCTAAATCGTGTGCAAACCTGATTTGGCTTTGATCTGACTTTTCGTTAATTTATGGTGAATTGTTTTCTCCCCCATAGGAAAGCATGGAGCTGTCAGATTTTGACAGGTCCATTGGTTCCTATGGGCCAAAAAAAAATTCACAAAAAATTAACGAAAAGTCAGATGAAAGCCAAATCAGGTTTGCACATGACTTAAGGGGTCCTCTAACGAATCCAAGCATTTAGAACCGTTTTTGACCCTTCTAAGACACTTTTTTAATTGAAAAAAGAAACATCATTAAGTGAAGCAGGGGACCTAAAATCGCATTCGTTATGCGAAGCATGGTCCCAAACTTCGCTAAGCGAAAATTGCCCATAGGAAACATCGTTATACGGTGCATATTATTTTCTAAAAAAACACATCGTTATGCAAATTCATCGCTAAACGAGGCAATCGTTAAGCGAGGCACCACTGTATATGATTCCATCTTATTAAACTGTTGTGCAAAAATTTTAATAAGATTATTTCCTTATACAACTGTGTGATGTTTTCTTGTTTGCTATTTGCAGCTGTATGAACCTCTCCTCTGAAATCTTTTATCTTTACCTACTAGTTCTTTTATCTTTGCCTACTAGCTCTATTTGTTTTGCTAGTGAACTAGAATAGGCTTAGTTGTCTAGAGACACTTACTAGCTTGAGAACTGAAGACTGTTCGTTTTTCTTGGCAGTCGTATCGTCTGCAAATGACCATAGAGAACATGAACTGCTTACAGTTCAACCCGCACAAGGACTACACAGCGAATCGTTTGGTTAGTGGAGTACTACAGCTGGCAAACAATACATCCCTTGTCATAGATGAGACTTTGCTTGAGCAAGGACAGCTTGACTCAAGAGGTTGGTATTCCAGTGTTTTGCCATGTTCCAATATAAAGCTCACACATTATAGTAAGAAAGTCTGCATATGTAATATTGTTTAATTATTTTCTCACTTCAGAATTGAAACATTAGTTGGGAATGTTTGTTTATGTATTTATAAATTACACCCTCAGTGAGCTGGGGCAATGACTCTCTCTGTGTGTGAGTGCGTTTGTGTGTGTGTGTTGTAGTAACAGAAACAGAGTTAAAAAACCACTCACAAAATGAAAGTCTTTACTACCCATTGAAAACAAAATGAGGATAGAATCAATCTTGTCTGCCTTTGGAGCTTATTCCACAGTTGCCTCTGAAAATGTAGTTGAATATTTGGCTATAGCCTGTAAATTTAAAGCTCACAATCTGAGAAGACATTATATAAAAGGAAAGGAGACTGTGTTTCATTGGGACAAATTGAATGGCCCTATTTCTCATTTCTTCTCCATCTTCTGCAGCCTGCTGGTATGCCTTCCAATAGTCAAAGTCTTTGTGGAACTGATATTTTAGCAGGACTGGTGAACTTATCCTTCATCCCATTTTGTCTCCCTCAGCTGCAGCCACAATGAATTAAAATCGATGGTTCTTTGTTTAAAAAAAATCAAAAAATTGGATTTTTAAAATTTATATCAGATTTTTAAAAATTTAAATCACATTTATTTCAGTGAAATGCTTTTAAAGGAAAAATCTATCTAAAGATAGTTTTCTATTTAATATACGTTATAGTTCAAAGTTTATTTAGCATGAAATAGTACTTAATGTAGCATGAAAATATTCATGCAATATTTACATTTTTAGTACACCAATTCAATTAATCTAAATTATCCAAGCTGAGATAACGTGCATTTTTTTCATAGTAAAAATGGTATAAATGAAAAAAATTCAGGAAAAGACCTTATTCCCATTGTTTTTCTGCAAATCTATGTACAAGCAATGAACACAATGGTGTTTAAGCAAAGTCAAGGATATGTATGCTATATAATGTTATTGTTTTAGTTAAATAAAACAATTTAAGTAGTTTCAAATATTAAAGATTCTAACTACCAGCAAGAATAAATATTTACATTTAAAAATCATGATTTAAATCTAGTCTTATTGATTAGTGATTTAAGTCATGATTTAAATCAACTTGATTTAAATATAATTCACCCTGCTGCAGCCTATTAGAAATCTGGTTTGGAAGCTGTAAATGGAAGGAGAATTACTATTTCTTTTTCATGGAGACATTTAGGATATAAGGTATTCTGTTCTTATTATGTATCAAGCCTAGATTCATTTCATTGTAATTGAATTTATTGGAGATATAAACAGTGATTGATTTCAAAGGAAGTAAAAGCAGAGTGTAGCCAGCCACATGATATGCTGGATTTTAGGAAATTCAATTTTAATAAAATCAGAACCATCATAAGTTAGGTCCTCTGGTAGGAGATCCTAACAAGAAAAGGAGTCCAAGATGGGTGAGAGTTTCTCAGAAAGGAAATTCTAAAAGCATAGCTACAAATAATTCCAACAAGGGTGGAAAAAGGTGGAAGACAGCAAAAAAAAACAAAAAGGCCAACGTGGCTTCACAGAAGACTCAGCAAGAATCTGAAACCAAAAAAACAATCTTCAGGAACATGCGTAGCAAAAGATAGAGGAAAGAAATAGTAGCTCAGCTAATGAATGGGATAGGGTAAATGGTAACAGATGACAAAGAAAAGGCAAAAGTGCTCAGTTCTTACTTTAGTTTTTTTTTCCCCAAAAGATATTCTATTACGCACCCACCCAGGCATATGGGGGATGTACAGATGGATGGGACAGGATTGAAGCTTCGGATTGATAGATAAGCAAGGAATACCTTATTACTTTGAACAAGTTCAGATTTCCAGGGCCCAATGAAGTGCATCCAAGAATATTGAAGGAACTAAGCTTAAAGAACCCTCAAAACCACTATTTTTTTCTTGAAATCATGGAGGATGGATGAACTGCTAGATGACTGGAGGAGGGCTAGTATTGTCCCTACCCTGTATTCAAACAGGAGGAACCTGGGAACTACAGATCAGTCCCAAGGAAAATTCTGGAGCAGATTATAAAGCGGTCATTTTGCAAGCACCTTGAAAACAATGCAGTAATAACCAGATCCAACCTGGATGCATCAAGAACAAATCCTTGCCATACTGAGGAGGGTCAGGATCTGTTATCAGTCATCCCAGAGTGCAGGGTAATAATGGGCTCAAATTACAGGAAGAAGATTTTAGTTGAATATCAGGAAAAACTTCATTACCATTAGAGCATTACAACAATGGAACCAGTTACCTTTGGAGATGTTGAGTGCTCCAATGTTGGAGGAATTCAAGAGAAAATTGGATAACCATCTGCCAGATGTAGTTTGCTTTGGATTCCTTCACTGAGCCAGGGGGTTTGTACTCAATCGCCTTATAGGCCCCTTCCAACTTCATTATTTTTACAATTCGAATGGTGTTGTCTTACATCCGAACCATTCTTCACTGTACTTTAAGCAATAATTTCTTCTCCTTCTTACACGTATTTTCCCCAAACAATGGCTAATATCCTGTTGCTTAGCATAGTAAGTGTACTTGTAGGTCCTGAATTTATGGAAGAGGGGACTCACCAAATCTCCACTGTTTCAGTGGGGGCCTATTGTAGTGCATTTTACTACACTAAAAGAGACTTCAGCCAACGTATACTTTTCATTTTTTATTATCTAACCGAAGTATTGTAGCTTGTTTGTCTTATGTTAATTTCAGCACACTTTCCTATAAGATAACGGCTTCCTAGAATTGGAAGGCTGAAACGACTACTGTAGCTCAATGTTTTACAACTTGGAGATTTCTACAGGCATTGCAGCACCTATAGTTCATTGCTGAAACACTAATGTATTTGTTTTTTAACAAAATGCCTTTTTGTTGAACAGCTGAATGTACCCAGTTAGTATATGGCATTTGTTACATGCTTGAACAGAGTATAATTTTCCATGTCTGTTCTCTCTACGTAAATTTGTGGACAGTGTCTTGTTCATAGTTCATAATTTGATTCAGTGTCCTAGAAAACATTTTTTGAAATGGTTTTCATGTGATTTTAAGATGATTTTAGACTAGACGTTGAATATACTCTGCAGAATAGCTGTTCTTAGCAGCTGCTGTGATTTTCTTTGGTTCTAAAGCTAAATATGTTTTACCTAGACCTCAGAGGGTTCCTTTTGTTGTGTCCCTAGGTGTGCACAATGTGACTGCACTAGGCCACCTGATAACTTGGCAGAAAGTGGATTATGACTTCAGTTACCACCAGATGGAATTCCCATGCAACATTAATGTCCTTATCACTTCAGAGGGCAGATCACTCCTACCGGTATGGAAATGCTGCACTTGAAGCAAGGTCTCATCTGCATTTTATTACTTCTTAATGAAGAGAAAACACACTGTTTCAGGCCAGTTAACTTTGTGCTCTGCATTAAAGACAATGTGGTTCAGTAATAGGCTGGTTTTGAGATCTGACATTTTATTTCAGAATTAAGGGGAAAGGCTTTAGTAATGTAGGGGCAAGACTGCATGAAGCTTAATTTTTTTTTCTTTTGCCCACAGTTACTGTATTTTTCTGCATTTGTAGGCAGAGGAGAATTTAGGCCACAATACTTTAGTCATATACAAAGCTCTGAAGCAAGTTACCTTCGGGGAATTTACATAAACCTAGATTGTTTTGTCTTGCACATATTTGGGGGCCGGGGGGATGTGTGCAAGAAAAATAAAGAATAATAAAGTTGGAAGGGGCCTATAAGGCCGTTGAGTCCATCCTCCTGCTCAGTGCAGTAATATCATGCATCTCTCTTGCACATAGGATGACTAAGTGAAAACACAAATGACAGTATGCAACATCTTTCCACAGTCAGACTGCCAGGTCCACCTGCAGCCACAGCTTTTTCCCCCCAACATGGAAGAGTACATGAACAGCCTTCTCACAGCATTGTTGCCATCGGTCCTTAACAAGTTTCGCATTTTCCTAAGTCTGTTGAGACTGCTGGATTACGGCATATCTGATGAAGTGACCAAGGTATGAAGACCTTTCCTACCAGTATCCACTGTGTAACTAGGTGTTCAGTTTGGGATTTAAATATTCTTTGTAGGTTGTCATCTCTTGAGCAGTACCATTCCATATATCATTTGCTCCTTGACTTAATTCTGAAAACTGGTCTAGATTTTAAAAACATTTCTTCTAAACTTGAAATATGACCTCTAGTTCTGCCTAGTTTCCTGAAAAAAATCAGTTCTTGCCTAGAACAAGTTAAGTTTCTCTTCAGGATTAAGAAGCAAGTACAAGAGTGCAGTATTACTTGCAACAAATAGATCCTTTGTATTAAAAAATAAAGTAATGAAACATACCCTGGTGTTATATGGGGAACAGAACACACTTCGTGTTTTAGAATAATGTCCTCAGGAAAACAAAGCTTCCCTAGCTATTTTAAGAGTTGTAAATTCAGATACTGGAAAGTACATATTTTCAATTGACTGAGAAGTATATCATTTCTTCAGTACAAAAGTATAATACTATAGCATATTCCTGTCAGAGTGCCTAAAAATAACAGGGAGCAAGTGTGTACTTTGGATAGCAGGCAAATCACCAAGTGTAAAATTTGACATGGCTCAAAGAGTGTAACAGAGGTGAGGTAGCTTGCTTTATAGTCCATATTTAGGTATTGATGTGATTCCTGCATTTAATCAAACAATCTCTTTGAAAGGCAGTAGAAGATGATTTTGTGGAAATGCGTAAAAATGATCCAGAGAGTATCACAGCTGATGATCTTCATAGAACTCTGCTTGTAGCAAGGTGAGGAGGAAGATTACAGTTTAGCAAACTGGATAAAAGTCTCATAGGTTTGCTGAAGAATTTCTTACCTAAGGGATACATACACTTTGATTCCACTCAGTTTCTTTTCGTGTACCTTTTCCCCCATATGACCCACCTACCTACCTCTTACTTCCTTGTAGTTAAATCGCCCATCTCTTTAGCAGGAACATTTTTTTCCTGACATAATTCTGGTCTCTGTAAGCTAGGTGAGCAGGCTCAGACTGCTGCTCAGAGCTACGTTTGAGTAATTTTGTCAGTCTAGTGCAATCACTTTCCAGTACAAATTTTAGATGAGAACTGAGTTACAGTAGTGACTTGGCATATTGAGCAAGTGTGATTGAGAATGTTGGGTTTTAATAAGCAAGCTGTACTTGAATACCCAAAGTTCTGTGGCCTACAAATTCAAACTCTTCAAAGGAGGATTGTTGGAGTTTGCTTGAATGAAACTTTCCTCCTGGATGATGTGAGGGCCACTGTAACACTCCAGATTTTTGTCATTGCCCACTCCAGACAGAAGCAAAATTCCTCCCCTCTGGGCAAGTCGGGGGGGGGGGAACAATCTGCAACCTTTGCAATGTTACATTGTAACTCTTTTATCTGTCACCATTAGCCAGGCTGGACTACAACTCCCCTGAGCACTGACAACAGCTGGAGGGCAGCAGGTTCCACATCCCTTCCTTTTACTCTTACAGAAAGTGTACTTCCTGGCTGAACTCCAGTCCCTTAGTTATGCAAAAGGCTTCACTTTTGGAGTTGAGCTGATTCAAGTTAAGAAATCTCTGTAAACATCTGTTACATATCAAATAACATGACTCAGTGTGCAAGAGATTACAGTATGTCTTCATAGATTTCTTAACATGAAGCAATTAGTCAGATCTTTTCTGTACCTAAACAATTTTAGGAAGTGTAAGCCTGCTCTTGAAGACTAGGTAGAGGATGCAGTTCTTCATTGAATTATTACCTGGATGTAGGAATATTTTCAAAGCTATAATGGCAACATTATTGAAAGTGGGTTATTTGTAAAGACCTAAATGGGCCTAACATAACTCAAGAAATGTGTCCTCCCCCTCCCACTGCTTACTTGGAACTTCCTAAGGGTTCCACATTTTAAATTTGATTTTTGAAGTTGTTTTCTCCGACATCCTTGAACAGAATCTCTCTTTTGTGACACTAGTTGTAGCTTACCCTCAAAGTTAGTGAAGTAAGTAAGTAGAATATTTATATGGAAGTGGCACATATGGGACAGGGATGTTTAAAGGATTGCATTATCATCATCAAAATAATAAAGCCTTTCTAATAGTTTTCTTAAGGTGTACAGTTCTCAAGCATCAAATGTTTTTGAGTAGTACTGTAATTTGCACTAGAAACTTCACTATGTTGAGATACAATTTGTACATGTTATTTTGCATTTAGAAAATAGAAATTTCTGTAAGATGGTTCACTACATAGTGAGGGGGCGAAATGCATTTCTATCACATTTATAGCAGTAAGAGCAAGTTAAAACCTCTACTTCTAGAAACAAACTTTCTCCTTCAACACTTTTTGCCTGCAGGTTCCTTTCTCTCAGTGCTGGCCAAACGACACTGTCAAGAGAGAGGTGGCTAAGAGCAAAGCAGTTGGAGGCACTACGCAAAGGCAGGCTACAGCAACAGAAATGTGTAAATGGAAATGAACTTTAGTGCTACTGGGCCTGTGTTGCTTATATGATGGCAAGCTTTGCCTAACATACGCTGAGCTAGTCTGCAGGGAGCTTATGTTTATATTGGGTTTTGTAGATAATTTATACCGGAAAGTTTTGGCTGTTTTCTCAAATTTGAACACAGTTTATGGTGTTCAAGTAATTAACACTGATAAAATTTGGGGGCTCATTTTTGTAACTGAATTAGCAACTATTGAAAATGTTTGATATTAAAGATTTATTACAAAAATACTGTCTGACCTGTAATGAAATTTAAGGACACAGCACAGATAATTGGGTTTAAGCTGTTTACTTCATTACGTTGGAGAGGGAAATGAATCGGTACTAGGACATATAGTTCACTGAAGAGGCAACACTGAATCACTACCCTACTTACAAATGAATTCTTTAGTAATCACTGCTGACCCAATTTAGCTGTAATGTGGATAAGTTCTTAAGTGTTCACAAACTTTGTGGTACTTACTATTCACCCTGAAATTAAACTGATGGTTTCAGTGTACATGGGTATCCAATGTGGTGTAGTGGATAATGTAATTGACAAGGACTCGGGAGCCCTGGGTTCGATTCTCCATACTCACTGGGGAGTAGAACTAGTAAAACCACTCCTTAAATGCCTTACCTTAAAAATCCTGGGGTCATTATAAGTCAGTTCTGACTTGATAGTGCATAACATTAATGCAGATAAGTGGAAGTTTTAATCTCTCAGTAACATGGCATGGTGCCATGACTTTGATAGCATCAGCATAAGCTTTAATCTAGAAATAGCATTTAGTATGCATTTATCAGTAGCTTGGGCACTAGGAACATAATGAGGCTAATAGTTGTCACAGTACAGATATTACAGCTGTATTGCAAAAGTTTTCCAGTCAGTGGTTTAAATCGTTGCAATGAGGGCATAATTCCCATGGACCTGAGCTTATATGGATATATGTTAAAGAATTCTACCTCATCCTGTGTCATATCTGAGAACTACATCCTAAAATGAAAAATGTAAAACCTTTCTGAACCAGAATAATCTAGGTTCAGACCCTTACTTTCTATCTTCTGTGAGGTTCTGCCACACAGCATTGACTGTTCAGTATAGAACTCTAGATCTTTATAGAAATATACACACAATGGTGACCAGACATGCTCACAATAAATATGTGCAGCTGCCCATTAGATGAATGGGATAATAGTAGCAATACTGTCTCCCAGGGAAACATGTGTCATTGCTGACTTTACTGAACAGCAGAACATCTGAAAACTACTTTAGCACATACACTGACATGTTTCACTCCTTCAGAAGTACTGAGTAGGAACTCAAAGCATAAGATTTTCCTGGTAAGGAAGAGCAGTCACACAGCTGTTATCAACCAAGCAGAACTTGGTTTGAACAAGACATGGCATTTTTCTAGTTTATTTATCACAGGCCTCTGTCCAATGCAATAACTAAAGTTCTGCATTCTACAGAATGCCATTTAATCAGTCTTGCATTAGGACATGCCCTTCACTAAGCTAGCAGTGTTTGGAAGAGGGTGTTTCAACAACTGGATGGAATTAAAGGAATTCCTTGTCGTTCACAAAATTTCTCAATTTGTATCCTATATACATGGCCTAAAATCAACAGTTTTTCTTTCATAGCTATTTTAAAAATATTTTGTTAGGGCAGCGTTCCCCAACCTTTTTAGTAGTGCGGATCGGCGGAGCCTCTGAGGTGGGGCGTCCTTTCGTGCTTGCGCTCTACGACGCACGTGTGAAGTGGTTGGGGAGGCACACGCCTGCCTACCCCACCCTTGCATGCAGGCGCATGCTTGAAGGGGTGAGGGAGTGCGTGGCGGCGGCGGAAGCCTAGGAGTCTTTTTTTTAAATTTTATTTTACTAAACATTTTTTATTTTACTCCTTGCCGCCCTCCGCAGGAAATTCAAATGCAGCTACTGGTGCCGATTCCAGAGCTGGAGGCACCAGCGGTGGCATCGGTCTGCTGAAGGCGGTGAGGAGCGCCTACCCCGGCTTCATTGGAGCCCGCCAAGAGGAGAGCAGCTGGAGCACCTGGCTCTTGCCCTGCCTCCTGGCTCTGGTCCACCCCCACCCACCACCACCACCAGGCACAAAGCCAGACCTCCCGCTACCCCGCCCGCAGTCCCTCATGCAATGGGTGCTTGCATGAAGGGGTGAGGGAGCACTCATGCGGGCGCTGGGACACGCACGTAAAACAGCTGAGGGGAGTGCGGGCGGGGGGAGGTCTGTCTTCGCAGCCTGGTCAGGCTCAAGCCGCGGACCGGGGGTTGACTACCTCTGTGTTAGGGGACAGCTAGGTATGTGCATTGTGGGGTTTTTTTCCCAGTCTAAATCCCAGAGTTCCAAGCAAGCACTAATGAGCCTATCGACCTGAGCTTGACCTATCCAAAGCCATTATTCCTTCCAGCCTATTCTTTCTCCAGATGAACACAATTTAAATGTGGCTCTGCAGGTGGAACTCTCAGAATGGAGAATTTGGGGGTTTGGCACTTTTTAAAAAAAGATGAATGGCACATCCCTAGTGTCAGCACCATTGTTTGATATCCTTCACATCCTATATTTACAATGAGTCAAAGTATAGGTAGGTATGTCTCTTTATTCCTGATAGTCTTTTAATCTGTTCTCAATAGATACGTAGGTAGTATTTCTAAAAATGTTTTTTGTCAAAAACAGCTAGACAAATCAGTGTAGCTAGTCAAAGTGCAATTGCACCCACGAGTCAAGAAATGGAAGAAGCTGCCACCATGGCTATTCTCAAAGGGTTACATTTATCCCTGTTAAAATGTCACATACTGTACTTGCACAGTTTACTCCTGTAAGACCATGGAAATGGCTGTGTAGGACACATCTAAGAGGAATCAAGGGAATAATGATTCATACTAGATATGAGTTATAGAACAGGAAATCTTGTATATTTTAAAGATGGGGAACTGAAAAAGCTGTGACATATTTAGACCGTGCTCCAATGCATATAATTTGCATTTTTATTAAAATATTTCTCATACAGTTCTCCCATTAAAACAATATTTTATTTTAAATATACCCACAAATTTATACAGACACAAAAAGGAACACACATTACAGTATTAAGAAATAAATAACAAAATGGAAACAGTATCAAAACCAACAAAGAAGACAATCAAGTTAAGTTGATGATCACTTCTGTTAAAGTACAGGTACTCAAAGACATCATACTATTGTTTATGACACTTGTTAACTGCCAAGTACAGTACATGCAGCCTAGTATAGTACACAGGTACTAAAAGACCTGGGTTCTGGGATGTTAAAGATTACAGAGGTTATGAACCACAAAATAGCAGTATCCAGTGTTATTTCAGTTGCTATATTCTACTGTAGAGTATCAGCCACAAGACTTCTGGGAAACAAAAGCATGGCCTATAAGAATTTATCCTGTGCACATCAACCATTTGGGATCAGATTCCTAGGACAAACTTTCAAATGCAGTCTCATTCCCAAGCAGTACTGTGGCAAAGCCAGAATTTGTCTCTGTGGATTACAACTAAACTTTAAAAACACTTTGCATTAACCTGATTTTAAATATCAGTGCTATGATTTTACAGATGAATTTGTGTTTTCATTTACTTTTGGAGCTCTTCTGCTTCAGTTTAGACAATACAGTATTATAATGTTTTTATATGAACACAGTAGCATATACCTGACATTCAGCATTTATTTTGGAGTTAAAGATCTCTGTGTTATTTTTGTGTTTTAAAAATGTTATAGTATAACAGTAAGAAGCTAGTTTGATTACAGGAATTGTGAAGCTTCCAAACACCATAATTTTTTTAATGGATTAATTTTTTTTTCTAGTAAGAAAAACTCATTCAGCACCTAGCCAATAAGCTTTTAACATCTTACTATATTAGATTGCTCCACGGTACCGTAGCTACCAATGAACAGAGGTAGAAAGAAGCAAGGAACTGGCAAGGGAGAAAGGACAGTAAGTTCTTATACAAATATATTTAAATGTTCCCTCTGCAGAGACCACATGGTTAGGAATGCAAGTAGATAATGAACACAAATTTTAAAAATTAAAAAGTTTGTCTGAAAAATAAATAGGATGTTATCTTGTAAATAAAATGTTCACTGGTACAGTGCAAGATTAATAAGGTAACAGGTGTCAGTACTAGCCCTGCAATACTAATATACTAGGTAAATCAGAAGACCTATGAAAATTGGTCTCAGAAGATAACTGTGCAACTGATCACTCAAACGAACAGCATCCACATCAACCACTGCTGTATGAGCTACCTGTATAGTATGATTCACCTTCACCAGCTCAGCTGTCAGAGATTAGTCCTGAAACCTGTTCAGAACCCAATTAAGTTCTGCCAAACCACACTGTAAACATAATTAGTGTTTTTTAAAATACCAACACTCAATGGCAGTTTGTACATCTTTCCCAGCGGTGGTATTACAGACCTTTTGTTTTTCAGTATGTACAACCGAATCTGAAGAGTGCACGTTTTAGATCTGAATTATCCGCGTCTGACATTGTGTAAACATTTCTCTCAGTTCATTTTGCTGAATTTCATTTATAGTTTCTGGTTCAGCAGGGCTCTTCTGGACTTTAGCCACTGCAAAGTTGATTCCTTGAGCCAACCCAGCCTGTGTAATATTAGCCACCTGGACCATGGAGCTGCGGATTTTTGCAAAGGGTGAAACTGCCCTACTACCATTACTCTCTGCTGGTGAAGGAGTCATATGAAACCCTGACTCAGCCTCAAGGATACTGGATGAGGAGCCTGGGCTTTGATGACACCTAGAATAATTAGTCTGTTCAACTGCTAAGAGCTGTGATTTTGTCTCTGAAAATGGTACATCCAATTTTGATGGCCTCGAAGGAGTCTCATTAGTTCTTCCCAAACAAGATTCTGTTTTCTTAGAAGCTCGGCTGCTAAAACAATCTGCTTGCTGAGACTCCTGAGAACCAATCTCGACTTCTGAAACACTGGCCATTTTTATCTGAGCATCTTGTACAAACCTGTGGCAGTAGGCATCAATTGGCTTAATGAACTTCCCTGCTGTGTTGCCAGTGGAAGGAGGTTCCTGCAGTGTTTCGCTGTCAGATTCAGACTTGTTAGTTTGCTCACCATACTGTGTAACACGAACTTCTGAAGGAACAGGGATGCTAATATTAATGTCAGTGCTGCTTATAGACTGGGACCGACTACCTATCCGAGGAGCAGATGCAATGATGCCGCAACTGGGAAGGACATAATCGATGTCCTCTAAAGAGTCCATGAACTGTTGGTCGTCGTCATCAGATTTAGAATTTGTAAGGAAGTCATCTGAATGGAATGAGTCATTATCAGAGGAGATCTCAATGTCCGATTCCGCAGTGACTTTAGTATCGGTCGTGGGATTTTCCAAGGTTTCAAGACTACTGTCAGACTTCCAAAGATTTACTTTCAGGTTGGGTTTTAAGAAATTGACTTTCATTTCAGGCTTTGTGAAGTTCCCCAGCTTTCTAAGGTTGTTCATATTTACATTGGATTTAGTTTGCTTCACTTTCTGATTAAGGGATGAGAACTTGCTCATTAAGTAATTCTTCCCCTGGGCCAAGGATCCTCTGTTCTGGGATCTAATGCCAATGATATCCTCATGGGGTTTACTGCTCTTTCTAAAGAATTGAGGAAAAATCAATATTACCTGTTATCCAGACATTATTGCTACTATCTATTTTATTTACATGTTCAAGGCAACTCACAACAATTAAAACTATATAATAATAACAGTGTAAAAATAACAAAGAAACTACATTAAAAATAACAAAGAAACTACATTAATATTTATCAATATTAAAACCAATGATTAAAATATTTTTAAAACATTTTAAAACCTCTCAATTTAATAAATAAAGCATTCCTGAGATTCCCCACTTATTGCTTAAAATTCTGCCTGAAAAGGAAGTTCTTTGCCTGATGACAGAAGGACAGGAGAAAGGGGACCAAGCTGGCCTCTCAGGGCACTGCATTCCAAAGCATGGAAGCAGCCACTATGAAGGCCGTCTCTTGTGTCTTCACCAAATGAGCTTGGGAAAGTGGTGGAACTGAGAAAAGGGGCTCCCCAGAAGATTTAAAAAGCTGAGAAGGCTCATATAAGATCATATGATCCTTGAAATAGTTTGCACTCAAGCCATATGGGTATTACAGGTAACAACCAGAACTTTCAATTGAGTCTGGAAACAGACTAGCAATCAGTAAAACTGTTGTAATAAGGGAGCTATATGCACTCTGTAACTAGTGCCAGTCAGCAGTCTGGCTGCAGCATTTTCCACCAGATGATGTTCCCAAATAGATTTCAAAGGTAGCCCCCCATAGAGCTAATGAGATACAACTAAGGCATGTGCCACCATGGCCAGATCGGACATTTCAAGAAACAGGTGCAGCCAGCACACCAGCCGTAACTATGCAAATACATTCCTGGCCAATACTGAGACATGTGCATCCAAGCTCAGAGCTGAATTCAGGACTATATCCAAGCTGTACACCTGGGGTTTCAGGGAGAGTATAACCCAATCCAGTACAGGCTGAGTCTCTATCTCCTTCCTTTGCCTTCTAACTGACCAGAAGCACCTCTGTCTTATCCGAGTTAAGTTCCAATTTGTTAGCACTCATCTAGCTCATTATTGACAACAGGCACTGGTCTAGACACAGAAGAACTTCCTTGGAATCAGATGGAAAGGAGAGGCAGAGGTGATCGCATTGAACCACAAAACTCTGGACAATCTCTTCCAATGGTTTCATGTAAATGTTGAATAGCATGAGAGGCAGGATTGAACCCTGGGGGACACACAGACCAATGGCCATTGTATCAAATTTGGTTCTCCCAATACACCTTCTGAGTTCAGCCACCCAGGAAGAATAAGAACCACTGCAGAACAGTAACTGCAAGACCCATCACAGAATGGTGCCCCAGAAGGCCATTACAGTTGATGGTATGAAAAGCACTCTGTTATCTACAACAATTATTAACTTTTTGTATTTTGAACATGAGGCCCGTGTACACACAAAGCTGAGGTTCCCATTTTTCCTCTCTGTAAGAGACTAGAGAGATTTGTATTTGCAAAGGCAGTGGAAAGGTGCCCTGCCTGCAGTTGCATGCCAATCTTATCCTATGTGAAATAGTTCTGAAGCCCCCATCCCCATACAGCCAAAGAATATAATGCCAACAATCTGTGGCTGAACTTTAAAATGTGCATGCTGTTGGTTATTAATATTAGTAAGCAGTAACTCTAAGGAATGAGGAGAAGACTTAAAACTCAGAATTCAAAATAATGAAAGCACAGACTTACCTCTCTAGTTTTTTCTCTATAATGGGCACATCTAAACCCAGGGCTTGTTTTGTGATTCGCAGCATCTCTGCAATGCACTGCAGAGTGTCTGAAACGTAAATTATTGATCCAACTTATACCTGACCAGAATGCATTTTTATTTCCATATTTAAATAAGATTTAATTGTAAAAGATAGTACCTGCCTTAAATTTAATGAAATGTCAACACAAAAATCTTTTCAAACTGGACAAGTGTTGTTCAATACAGTGGTGCCTCTACTTACAACCATTTCAAGTTGCAACCAGCTCCGGCTGCAAAGTTTTGCTTCGACTTGCGGCCGGAGCTTTGAGTTGCGAAAGGAAAAAGGCAGAGAAAAAAGGCAGGGAATTCAAATTTGCTAACCTTGGTAGGTGAAGAGTCTGCTTCTTTGTAGCTCTATCGCCCCAACGGTTAGAGTGAGTGCATCAGGGGCGGCTTGGGACTGCCTGGAGCTGCTTTCTGCTCCTGAGTAAGTACATTTGCTTTGTTTTGCAGGGTGGGTTTGGGTGGTGTTGTTTCTGTGTTGTTAAGTTTTTTGTGTTTTGCTGTGTGTTTTTTTCCCAGCTGCATGGCGTTCCGCTGGGGCTGCCTATGTGTGGGGGGGTTGCACTTTTTTTCTCCAGCCCCATGCTGAGGTTGGCTGTGTGTGAGGGGCAAGTTGTGGTTTTTTCCCAGCCCCACAGCGTTCCGCTGGGGCTGGCTTTTTTGTTTGTTTGTTTTGGTGTGTTTGTTTTTCAGCCTTGGCCCATTCCTATAGCCTTGC